TTTGGTTCAATAAAAACCTGTCCTAGTCCTAGACAACCCAAACAAATTACATATTCAAAAGCAAACATAAAATTATGGAGTGTCCAAGAGACCCAATTATTGGCAACTCACTCAGCAACAACGTTGGCGCCTCTATCAGAGCTGCGACGTGATATGCACCACAGGCAATTTCTTCAACACATTCCCCTGAAATATTTTCTACTAAACATTGTATCTTTCCGTCGGCTAAGGATTACTTTAAAAATATTCCCTCATGTTGTCAAACCAACTGTTAGGCTATGTCCGCAAGCAACTTTGTGAAATTTGTAATCAATCAATGCTGGAACACGTGGGCTTAATCCGGAGTTCCTTGTTTCCATACAGTAGTGGATCCAAAAACATTTTTAGGGTGAAAACATATATGTTAATAATGTAAACATTTCGGCCCACCCTGATACAAGCATGAATCCGCCACTGTCTCCATGTCCAGGACGATTTTGGCTATGTTCCCCAGCCATTGTAATCACAAGTATGAAATTCTCCGCATGAAACATGACCAACACTAGAAACAACCAGTGATTCTACAAGATGAGGTTGAATGACCTCCTTCCCAAAACCATGATCAAGTCATCCTTCAATTCTTCACCCCATGTGAAAACTTTACCTTGCCTTGTAACCGGGGCAGTATACTTGATCCCACAATCTACATGATGTGCATCTAAAACTACATTAGATTCTAAAGGCCTTGGAAGAAGCACATCTGCTCTTGTGCTCAAACAATTGGTGTCCTTATCAGGCGCAACCTTCGCAATACTATCACAGATAACCTCGCCCCATATATATACATCCCATAAAGCATCATAATCATTTGGTACAGAACCGTGACTAGAAGCATTAGTACCGTCAGATGCTACAGATTACCCTTCAGACTCAAGAATTCTCAGTTGAAGTATTTGGGGTTAAAAGACCACACCTTCATTGTTAGAGACAGTGTTACTGTCACGACTAATGAATCAAGTGGCCGGCCGACGAGGCTCTTTCCAGCAAATCAACCTGTTTAAATAGATATTGATTTGAATAAAATACTTAATAAGCAAGCGATAGCTATTAAGAAAATGATGCAAAATACAAATAAATAGAATCTACTACTAATAATAAACTTGTCTAATTCATAAAAAAACTATCAGTCATTGGACGTGTAGTAAATATTTTCTATAAAAATAAGATGATGAAAAAAAGAGAGTAATTACTCCAACAGTCGTGCCAAAAAAAATCTAAATACAGAAAAGCAGAAGCACCAAATGGCAATCTCAAATTGGATACTTCGCTGTCTGAAGCTGACAATAAAACAAAGGATTGGTTACTGATATAATTAAATTTCCTGGAAGTCCACTCACCTCGTCCATTTCACTGAAAACACAGACAAAATACAGAACAACATCATTCATAACCGTCGAAATCCTGAATGACAAGAAAGATGACGAAATCCGTTAGCTCGTTATCTTCAGTGAAGACCACACCTTCATTGCCTTGCTCTCTTCCCCCCACGTGTCCCCAAAAGCTTCCATTTCTAGCAGATAACCCCTCCCTCGGCAATCACCCACTGCCCCCCCAAGTTATTTTTATCCTTCCCTTCCCACATCAAAAGAAGCAAATCCACCACTTTTGCTTTTCTTTTGGGATTTTGTAGGGGTTGAGCGAGATGGATCATGAAGCGGATTCTTATAGGACTGACTTGATGACCATAACACGTTTCGTGTTGAACGAGCAGTCCAAGTATCCAGAGTCTCGTGGAGATTTCTCCATCTTGCTTAATCACATTGTTCTTGGTTGCAAGTTCGTTTGCACTGCTGTTAACAAGGTCTTTCTTTTATACATTCATCTTAGTTGTTGTTATTGGGTTTTCTTTAAGACAACTCATTTGGGATACTTGGTCGCCAGTTTCAATCTCAACTATGCATTCACTGATATTTTGTTGAATCAGGCTGGTCTTGCCAAACTCATTGGACTTTCTGGGGAGACTAATGTCCAGGCAAGTAGTTCCCAAACCACTGATTCTTCTTATATTCTACATGTGGTGTTAATATTTCAAACTGAGTAAGTTTGTCTATTTGTGAATAAAGGGTGAAGAGCAAAAGAAGCTGGATGTGCTTTCAAATGAAGTCTTTGTCAAGGCTTTAGTAAGCAGTGGCAGAACAGTGAGTAGCTGGATGACTTTTGTTGTATACATCGGAGAAGTTATAATATTCTCTGTTAACAGTTAACATATTTTGATATTGTACCAGTGCATCCTTGTCTCTGAAGAAGACGAAGAGGCAACCTTTGTGGAGCGCTCAAAGCGTGGAAGGTGTTTTTAGCTGATCTCTTCTCTGTTTCTATTGAGCATAGTGTTGATGTTAGATTTGTCTTGAACATTTGATATATATGAACCTGTCTTAAACAACTCAGGTACTGTGTTGTTTTTGATCCACTGGACGGTTCCTCCAACATTGATTGTGGAGTTTCCATTGGATCAGTATGGCTCTTCACCTCCAAAATGCCATTTCAGATTTTGTGTCAAGTAATTATTGTTCTAAGATAACTTGATATTGCAGTGGTCAACTGAATATGTTCTCTTTCATCTAGATTTTTGGGATATACATGGTGAAAGATGACCATGTTCCAACTCTAGATGATGTGCTGCAACCTGGGAAGCATATGTTAGCAGCTGGATATTGCATGTATGGAAGCGCTTGCACGGTACAACGTTTACTCGGATGTTGGCAGCTGCACGTCTTTCTATGTTCAATCTACCTTTTATGTTTTCTCTTGCAAGTAAAAGCGCCATCTGTATACTCGGTTTTTCTTTCTTTGATGCAAGGGATATTGTAATTTTATGGCTGCTTCCTGCAGTATTATGGCCTCCAGTACATACTTAAATGTTATGATTTTACAGCTTGTGTTGAGCACCGGAGAAGGGTTAATGGATTCACCCTGGATCCATCTCTTGGAGAGTTCATACTAACTCACCCCGACATCAAGGTACATTTTTTAATATTGGATTAATCATGCGATTAAAAATATGATTCGAACCGAGCCAGATTTTAGCAAACAATGGATTCTGAACCAATCATTGTCATCATACCGAATATAAAGTTATATGGCTCTTATTTGACAGATTCCAAAGAAAGGGAAGATTTATTCAGTCAATGAAGGGAATGCTAAGAACTGGGATGGTCCAACAGCCAAGTATGTTTTAGTTCAGTTTGCAAGTGTAGTTTTGTCAACTTGTTTTCCTATGCATTGTTCCTCATTTCTTTTTTGAACTTCAGGTATGTGGAAAAATGCAAGTTTCCTAAAGATGGTTCCTCTCCAAAGTCTCTTCGATACATCGGAAGGTATAATTGATTATGTTGTCAATGGAGTTACCATGCCTGGTTTATCCCCAACTGTTGTCTCGGAATACCAATTCTGTCATAGAATGAAGGATATCATCGCTTTATTTGTGATGCGATGAATGTTGCTTGTGGAGGATCCACAGGAATATCTGTTCTGTTTGTTCCTTAAGGACAATGCCTTCTTTTTGGACATGTATTCACCTGCATGGATTAGCATCACTGACTTCTTAATGTTCTTCCATCTTGATATCATTCATTTAATTTCAATGACACGAATTTGTTTCCTTCAATCTGAACATTGATCTTACGATCATCACATCATGATAACAGCATGGTAGCGGATGTCCACCGCACGCTCCTCTACGGAGGTATATTCTTGTACCCTGCAGATAAGAAGAGCCCCAACGGGAAGCTACGGTGCGTAATGCAAGCTTGTTAAATATGTTGGATCCAAGACAAAACTTTCACTTACAAATGAGGCTTAGTTCCTTACTGATTTTGAGCAATCTGTGTAAAATAGTGTTCTCTACGAGGTCTTTCCGATGTCGTTCTTGATGGAACAAGCTGGAGGTCAGGCATTCACCGGCAAGCAACGGGTATTTACATCAAACCATTTTATTATCAAGCTGATCTAATGACACTGATAAAACTATCACATTAACTATGGTAAAGAAATGCTTCTGGTTTTGCTGCAGCCTGCAAGCTAATATCTTGCTAATGTTAATCTGATTTATTTTTGCAGGCACTTGACTTGATTCCGACAAAGATACACGAGAGGTCTCCGATATTTCTAGGCAGCTATGATGATGTTGAAGAAATTAAGGCACTATACGGTGCTGAAGTGAAGGGGGAATAAATCTACAATTCTCATTCTTTACTTACGCTGTCTTGCTGGGTTTAGCTTAATCTTCTCAGAAGACGTAATCCATATGTAATGGGATACTACGACTTGTCCATGGATGTATGTATGTGTATATAATATATATCGGATGATGGTATTTTTTATGTCACAACAAGTAATATTTTTTAATAGTACAATGAAAATATAATTAAACCTCAAAAACTTGAAATTATCAAATTAAAAAATATAATGGAGAAGCTGGTGAAAAACATGCAGAGTGCTCATGATTTATAGTCTACTGCTATGGACTAATTTGTTTATTCCCTCACTCACATTAAAAAGAACATAAATTGAATCTGCAACTTATACATGATATATATTAATAGTAATTAAACAAATATTATTTATATTAGAACCAAAATTTTGGAGGGTAAAGTTTAAAAATATCATTAAATTATATTAAATATTTTTTAAATATTAAATTTTTAAAAATTATAAAATAAGTATTAAATTTTGAATTTTATAACAAAATGAATATTGCGCCATCATCCGTATTAAAGACATAATATGACACATTAAAATTAATAAATAATGTCTCATTTGTCTCTTCAATTGTATTTAAAATTTTATTCTATATTTTTCTAATAATCTTAAATAATAGTTCTATAAAATATTAAATTTTTAAAAAATATATATAGAGATTCCTAAGCTATTTTAAACTTGTTTGACTAAATAAATATGAAATAAGAATTATTTCCGTTTAGGCTCACCTACTTATGTTTGGCTTCGGGCTGAAGTATCTTTGATCCGAAGTTTATTAGTATTTTTCATGAATTAATTAATTTTGAATTACTTATGTTTAGGCAAGCTAGGGTTTCGTCAATCTCAGGCTAGAGACTCTTCGTTGTCTTGTCTCTCAATTAAAATCCTTTTATTTTTCTTTTTTCTACAAGGAAATACAAAAAAATCGAATTACTTTTTCCTTGCATAGGAAAATCAAGAAAACTGGGATGGCGGGCGGTTACTGGAATCGGCGTCAGCCAACTCCTCCGATGATGTCTTCCAGTGGGACGCTTAAACGACCTCGTACTGAATACGGTAATACCTTTGCTTTTGCTTCAATTTTTGTTTTAGCTTAGGTGCTTGGCAGTCATGGCAGATTAGTTTAGAAAATATCGAAAACTTTCGATTAGATTGGTAGAATTTTCTTCAAACTGTGTTTGGAACTTATGTATTGGTCTTAATGTTAGGTTTTATTTTGCTTAATTAGATTCGTTATTTGTTGAGCGCGCCTGCAAGTTGATTTTTGTTTTCTACAATGAAAATGAATGCTAAAGAAATTTTAGATGCTTTATTTTGAAGTATTTAGTTCAATATTCATTGCAGAGCCTTAGTTTTATGGTAGCAATTGGTTGTCAGATAAGGAATCGATTTTGAAACTTGAAAACCTAAGTTATAGGATTTTTTTTAACGTTTCTTTTTGCCTTCGCAAACTTGATAACTCTTGTTGTTCGGATACCTTTTTTTATTAAAAGAAAGTTTCAAATTGACCTTTGTTTGACTAATTTCTTTGAGCTTATTTATTTTTCCACTGTAGGTAGCTGCCACTTTTTATCAGATTTACATTTTGTCATTCACTGTGTGGAATGTTTATTTTTGTCTTTGGGTTTCTTCGTGATGAATTAGAAATATGCTTGTTTCACTTCTGCATCTCTTTGAAAACTATTTCTGCTTTAAGAAAAAAGAGTTTGACCTATATTTTCTATTTTCAACTTCACAGCTGGCCCACCTTCTGGGCTGCATCCAGCTCATGAGATGCATAATTATTTGGCTAGAGATGGTGATCGGGGTGGACATCTCCCTGTAAAGGATACAAAAACAATTGGATCGGCATATGATTGCTATCTGCAGAGTGCGGTACCATCTTGAACCTTTACTTGTGCTTATTTGTTCCTCACCATGCATCTCTATTTTTGTTTTCTAAAGCATTTATTAAATTGCTTTTTAGCAATCTTCTTTTCCTTCTGGAGAACCAAGTACATTTGGTGGGTTGGGAAAACCTGTTTTTGGTTCAATGCCTGCTCATCCAATAGCTGATCCTCCTGTGATGGGTCGTCCTGGATCTGCTGCTTCAGATCTGGTACCAAATGGTCGAAATGTAGGTTATGGTAATCATCTTCCAGTGGATGCAATGTCAAGGTTAGGTCGGGATACTGTACCTCTACCTCCAGATGCTACGAATACTCTATATGTTGAGGGACTTCCTTCTGACAGCACGAGGAGGGAAGTAGCCCGTATCCTATTTAATGATGTAATACTTGATAAGATATGTTGATGTCCTAACTCTTATGGTACCATATTTTAGCTCTATTATCTTGTTTCTGTCTATCTATCAGTTCACATTCCTTGATCGAGGCTTTAGATATCTTTTGCCCTTTTGTGGGATATAAAGAAGTACGACTAGTGAGCAAAGAATTTCGACATGTGAGTGACTAGCCATTGTCTAACATTTAATTTGTCTCTTGTAGCATGACTTCCGTTGTGTTTTCTTTCATGTGAAATTCTCCTGACTGTTTCATTGAATGCTAAAACCTGATACATTTGCAATGCAGCGTGGTGGAGATCCTCTCATCCTTTGTTTTGTTGATTTTTCAAGTCCTGCTTGTGCAGCAACTGCAATGAGTGCCTTGCAAGGTGATCTTTTCTTCTTTTAATTTTGACATTCATATAAGTTAGCTCAATGGTGGAAAATGATACATGGTTTGTTTTCTTAAAAACCGATAGGAAACACTAATTAACTCTTTAAATGGTAATGGTGCACTGGAGCATTTGGCGCAAGCGGTAAGTGTATATATCCCTTGCTCAAAGAGTAGAGTTTGAATTTCCCACCCATCTAATTCAAAAAGAAAAAAAAAAAGAAGAAAAATGAGAAAGGTAGCTTTTTCATACTACGCTAATTTTCTTATATGCCTTGGTTTCTAGTTTCTGTCAGTTTGTGTGTATATGTGTGTGTGTTTCTTTTTTGACATGCATGAATGATTATAAAAGAATGTGAGCTTTATGCAGGCAGAAATATACATGCTCAACCTTTTTTTCTCCAGAATGATTGCTACAAAGTGAACACGAAATTGTGAAAATAGAAGTTTGAACTTAGCGTGCCATAAGTTGAGTCCATCACATTGGCTGACAGGTGCATTTGCGTTAATGCATTCTCAAATTCCCAATTTAAGTTTTGTTGAATTGTGCAGGTTATAAAATTGATGAACACGATCCTGATTCTAACTACTTGAGACTTCAGTTTTCCCGGCACCCAGGCCCAAGGTCAGGTCCTGGAGCTCGCGGAAGGTGAATGTCACACTCTGGAGACAACTAGGCTGTATGCGAGTCATCTTGAAGCCAGTTTTTATGGTTCACATGTTTTATATATGTGGCTGGATTATGAGGAGTGTACACATTAGTTGAATAGCATATTTTGTTACTCGCAACCTAAATTGCTGAATCCAGTTAACTGTTGGCGCTATAGATACGCAGAAATTTAGGAGATGTAGGATCCAGAAATTCTTGAATTGCTTGCACATTCCAGGAAGCTGTGTTGTACATTAACTAAAAGATTCGTTTTTTTTGTGGTATAGATCGTAGTAGCATTTTAATTTAGTGTTCAAATAGAGGAATAAATATTTTTCGCTTCAGATGTTAATTAGCCTACGTCAAAAACTAGTGTTTTAGCTAATGTAATCGTACGGGTATTTTTAGTTGTGAATGTTAATTGTTTTCTGTGAAAATAATGATGTCCATTGTGATATTAGTGTTAGATACTTCGCTAAGTTTAGTTTGTAAATCACTTGGGTTCTAAATTCTCATAGTATTTCGTTTAGATAACCTATCTTAACACTTGCTTTCAGTTGTGTGGTTGCTGTGGTTATGAGTGGCAGCTCTGAATTCTTCGTTTATTAAATAGTCCGTATTGGGGTCATATTGGGGTTAATTGCATTAAATAGTCCCCAAACTATGACTTTGATTCTATGTTAGTCTCCAAAATTTAAAACATTCTAGTTCGATCCCAAACTATAATCTATAGTAATTAGTTCTTTTATTAAAACCGTTAATCTAATGGTGTGCACTCTATTATGATCTGATGTGGCATTTTATAGCCAATGAAAATCCCGCACCTGAATTAAATGAAATTCATCTCTTCTTTTTATAGTTATAAATGTAATTTTAATTTTTATTAACAAGTAAAAAAAATTTGAAAATCTATGAAAATTTCTAATAAACCGGTTATTTTTTTCAATCACATAGTCGTCATTGATCACGGTAAACTGACATTATTAGTGGTTTTTTTATTAAAATAACATTGAAATTCGTTTTTCCTTAATTTTTTTGATTAATATAGGATGATTTAACAATGGACGTTTAAATATTTAATCAATGAGGTTTCTTGTTCGTGCTTCTTAAATATGAGCGTGCTTTTAAGGTTTTCCTAATTTGATATATAATTTTCCAAATTGAAAATTGAACTTACAGCTCATGCTTACTTGTAGTACAAGTGAAACGATTGATGCAATCAAAGTCTAGCATTTACGGTTCACTATTTTGAGTTGTCATTGATTGAGCTTCTGAAGGTTCTGGGAAATTGTAATGTTGTTGTTCGTACCAGTTGTCTGCGAGGAGTTTAATAGTTTTTGCATATGAATTTTCTGATTGCTAGAGTTTTGCTAGGCCATTTTTATCCTTTTAGTTCTCAAAGCGTTGCAATTTATATACAGTAGAGGTGAAGGGCAAAGGTGTTTTATATGTGTTCTAAGTTCAAGGTTGGAGCACGTGTTTAGTGGTTGTGGCAAATGCAGCATCCTGCTGTCCATGATTCTGTTTCGAGCCTAAGGTGTCTTTTGCTCGAAGATTGATGTCCTTGGTTTAGATCGATGCTTCGCTGTGGAGTGTCTGGTTAAATTGAATGGTCTATATCTTTGTTTCTCCATGTCTGGAGTTAGGGATGGTGGTTGTTTTGTATGATCAACTTTATTAAAGATGTTCTTTGATTTTATCTACCTTAAGGATTACTCTTTTTCTCCATATAGGTTTAGGGAGGTTTTTTAATGAGGTCCTTGAGGTAGTGTATTTTGTAACATTTCAATACAAATACCTTATTTAAAAAAAAAAACAAGTGAAACGATTGCACACCGTTATGAATCTAAAGATAAAATCCGCAACTCATGTTTTGACGACATTCTAATATCAGAATAAGATTAGACCAAGCGTGTGGTTGGTGATGTCATCAAAAAGTCATTTGACATCGTTCAAGGGGCTAGAGTGTTCATATGTTTGAAAATCAACAGCTTAATCTCATCTCTTTCTCAAAGCTGTTTTTAGTGTCTAAACTCAAGCGTACTGCCTTTAAAACCAGAAGTTAACCTACATTTTCTTTGCTTCTAGTTAACGAGCCACGACATCTGGGAAATTTTCATATATTCATTTTTTTGTTTATTTTTTTATAATTAAAATTACTTTAAAAAAAGATTAAGAAAAAGTGAGATATTTTCTTACAGTTTCAATAAAGGAAAGATCTTATTCAGATAAGCTGATAATTTGAGGATCAAATTAGAATATTTTAAAGTTGAAGGACCAATATAAAATCAAGGTCTTAGTTTGGAGACAGCCGTCTTCAAGTAAGAAAGTTCAATTAGGAAAAAGATGACAAAATCAGGAATCAGCATTTTCTGTCTACTTCGTGTAGTAAGTAAATATATAGCATAGTCTTACTAAAATTCACCTTTCCCTCAATTTTATAAAACCTCAATAACTATCTGACAAAGAAATCTTCAAAATGAGTGAATTAGGCAGGCTCTCCTTGGATACAAAGAATTCTTTTGTTCCCATTCACTTCTATGTTTTCCTGTGTGACAAACTTAATTAGAGCCAAAGAATTCCAGCTCAACTTAAAAAGGATAAAAGAATTTCCTACCTTAACTTCTTCAAGAAGTGTCTCGAGCTGAGCTGTTATCTCGGAGAAGGAAGGCCGCTCGTCAGGAGCCGCTTCCCAACATCTCTGCATCAAGTCCAAGAGTTTTGGATGTGCATTCTCTGGAAGATCTGGACGCAGTCCCTGAAATCAAATGAAACAACACAAAAACATTAGTAAATTTTTTGCCAAGGCTAACCACCCCCTTTTGCTCGGTGGCTTTGTAGACTCCCCGAGGAAAATAACAAGCTTTTGCACGAACAATAATCCAAGTTCATGCCTATTTCCATTTTATATGCAATGTAGGCATCTGTCTATCTATTGGCAGAATTATCCGACACTTGAAATGATGTACGAGGAATTGATGTTTTATCATTTCCAGGTCATATGCTTTAAAGTTAAGAACTTCCATATTTTGGAACACTAACAAATTTAATGTTCTCAAATTACACCCCATGGCTCTTATAAATTATAATTGATCCGTTTCTAAGTGTGCCCAGTCTTATAAACCAGACCTGTCTCACTCCCAAGGCAGCTTGCAATGGAGTCATGGTATCATATGGAACCTGCGTCAACAAGGCAAATAATTTTCGAAACTGTTAACTTCTTAACACTTTAACATACAATTGTTCTTCAACTTTCTTCAATTTCGGGAAATACCTTGGCAGTCACTAGCTCCCAGAGTACAATGGCAAAACTGAACACATCTGCTTTCTGATCATATGGCTGGTGGTTTATAACCTTGTAGGAGTAATAAAGAACGATGAAAAGAAAAATAAGAAGTTGAACACGGCTACAGTTAATGTACACAGCAAGTAATGACCGAATCATTAACCCTGCACCTACTACATTTTAGGCAGAAAACATGAGGAAGGAACAATGTATCCAAATATTAGAGAGTTTATAAACAAACAGATGTTATGGGTAATTTCCAGTAATGACCAAGGAAGTTCCCATCAGACTCAAAATATAAACCAAAGTTTGAAACAATTAAAGGTGGCTACCACAGTACTTCAATCTATTGGACAGGAAAAATAAGAAATAAACATAAGAGATTCACACCTCAGGTGCCATCCATCTATATGTCCCTGTCTCAGCTGTCATTACTCCTCCTTGGTTCTGGAACCGAGCAACACCAAAATCTGCAACCTTAACAACCTTTAGAGAAAACACAACTCGTCAGCGGCCAATACATATTACAGCCAGCTATCTTAGCTGTCTACCCGATTAACTTGTAGAAACTTCATTGCTAGGAGTACTTTAATATATATAGCATCACAGATAGATCAAGTAACAAGAAGCACTGTAAGGACTTCGGCTAATTCAGTGATAAAATAATTAAAAGAAACTATATATTGCTTGCTTGATTCAGTACAACCTCCATATTAGGTCTGATAGTCTACCTAGTGACCCCTCTTGTAGAAACTTCATTACCAATATTTATTGCTTAACTCATGACAACTTCCATATAAGGTCTAGTAGACTACCGAACGACTCCTCTTGTTTGCAAAAACTTACAACTCTAGAAGCTGGAGGTTAGCTTGAGACGAGAAGACAGTAGATAACTAGAACCAAAATGAAACAAACCTCAGAAGGACAGAGTATTAAAATAATGAAGTATTTTTAACAAATCAATAGGCACTTGAACTAATTCCTAATGGAGGAAACTACCACGCAAAAGATTTCAAATCCATCAATAGTAAGGGCTAAAAGTAATTCAAGACACAACCCTAATCTGCACTTTAACCAGAAAAAGGCATGGAATTTTGGCAGCATTCTATTCACTAGCCATAGTAAGCAAACTGATTAAATTAGTTTACTATCCTTCATGCATGTTCCACCCTATTTAACAACTTATCCAGGGGAAAATCCCCTCTTACGCATTTCAAGGTTCTGGTTTATAACTTAATCTTCAGTCATGTTGCCCAACACCTAGAACAATTTAATTGTTAGAAATCAGATAAGCTAATCACTTAAGCACGCTTACATCAATATTAAAGGAAAATATCTTACATTGTCTGTATCCATCAGCAAATTTGCTGTCTTCAGGTCTCGATGAATTATGTGCTTTTGATGCAAATATTCCATGCCTTTGCAGACATCAACTGCAAACTTCAGCAGCTGAGTGAGCTTCAACACATTATAATTCTTGTGCAAATAGTCATACAGGCTTCCTCCAGACATATATTCTGCAAATGATAATGTGAACTGTGAAATGAGAATTTTTTAAAATATATATATTTGAAATTAAACAGATAGAAAAGTTGAAACAGCAAGTGAATGGAGGGTGCTCCAGAGAAGGGGATTGGAAGCCCCCAGTTGGTATCAACTACATAAATTCATTTAGTTGCAATCCCGATTTAAGGCCATGCTCTGAAAGATCTTTAGACAACCCCAGAATGGAAAAAAAACTACTTTAATCAAAGATACTTTTAAATTTAAGACGGAACATACCTGTTACTATGCACAAATGTGGAGATTTTGTACATGCACCAATGAAACGAACAACATTTTTATGCTGGACCTCTCTACACTCAAGAACCCAAAAAAAATGATCAATGTCCATATAATTGTGTCCCTACAGAAATACAAATACAGAAACACCAACCATATCTTACATCAGAAATTAGCCAGTTGATTATTGGTAAGACAAAAATTTAATTTCATTAGCTTGATGCACAAGTTTATCCT